CCCCCCCCCCCCCCCCACCACATAAATTCCAGCGAAATGCCTGAGTAGGACGCTTACACCAGCCTATAATGGAAAACCTGCCCCCACACCTCTGAATCATTGGTTAGACCCTCTCTCCCCACCCCCTGTCCCTTTCTTGGATTAACAAAAATATCTCTTTACTAAACTCACAAATGCCTTAAGTATGAAAGGCTGGCAAACACATCCCAGTTTAGTTTGGCGATATTATTTGACGTGAGGTACCTGCAAATAAGCAGATGAGCAGACAAGAATTGAATGATATGGCTGCATTTTAAGGAGGCCGCCACTAAAGAAATCAGTCAGCAGAAGTACTTACAAAGTCTCTAATTCAGCCGTGCAACAAAACAAATCCCTTGGTATTTCCGCAATTTTATTGTAAGAGAGATCTCTACAAAAGATGAAATAATTAATGTTGCTGTTTGCAGAGTAGAGAACAAAGCTGTGTTTGGCTTCATCGTATGTCGGAAGGGTGGTAAGTTTCTGAAGAAACTGTAATGCTGTATCGCTAAAGGACATTATATGTAAGATCATTTGGTCGTATCAGCTGAGTTGACAATGTAAATTGTTCATCGTAGAGTATTTCTTAAGCTGACGTTCCGTTCTGGAGAAGGGCGGACGCTCAAAACGTCAGCTGTGGAAACTCTGTGCGGCTGCCAATTTACATCATCGACTCAGTTCATAAAACTAAATTATTTGGTCTTATGTCTTTCTGGGTTTTCCGTCGAGATCAGGCGGGGATCTAGCCTGAATTATTTTAGTAATTATACACGAATTACCCGGAAACATGACGAAGATTATCCCAAAAAGATCCTTGGGCCATCTTGGTGGCAATTCCAGCAAATTATTCATCAGAGTGACCATATTTTATCTTAAAAGCTACCGTTGATTTCCAAGATTCCTTGAATTCAGCCAAGTCACGGCTCATCACCAAGCAAGGTTGCTATGAATACTCTTTAGAGCGATCTTGTTAATGGCGGCTGTTGAACGCAAACGGTACGGGAGAATGTACGGGAGAAGGTACGGGAGAAGGTGGTGCCCCTTATATCGTATAGTTAGCTGAGGGTGGTTGATCATATAATAAACATAAAATTATCTTCAAATCTAAGGGTTAAGTTTACAAATTGATCAAACGCACAGTAAAATTAATCTTCCAGCATGACGGAATAACTTAGCAGGTAAGTGATAAATATCGTTTGAGGCCATCAACCTGAAAAAAAAACTCTCATCAACCCTTAGGGAAATAATCAGATTTTATGATGTTAATCGTTAATCTAGTCTTATTTCCAACAATCACCAAAAACGGTAAGACTTCTATTTTTCGTGGACTTTTCAACAGCTCATGTTGTTATAAGTGAATGTCTCCACAATTTAAATATTCTTATGCAATTTAATCATGCACTGGTAAGAGAAAAGGATGAAACCAAAACGCTTAGCTCTTCTTCATTTACCTTTTGCTTTTCAGACTTACAGATTTGTTAAATAACGAAGACTAGAAAATAAATTGACGGAGAGGTTTTGAATGCTGTTGTTAGCAAGGCTTCTGTAAATTCAAGATAAAAAGGAAAAGTAGAGCTATAAGCGATGACGTGAGTTGTTTATTGCTTAATGTAACTTGAAAGGTCCGTCATGTTTGCCCACGAAAAAAGAAATATATTAGCAAAGTTATTGATCTTAAAGGAAACGTAGATGGTTGAATGATAGTGGCGACTCAGAGAAACTCAGAGAATTTTACAGAGGGGGTTAAACCAATGATGCGACGTTTAGAAAGTGAGCTGTTCGACTCGATATTGAGCGTTGTTCAAACGGACGTTTCTGTGCAGGATCCCAGAGAGGACTTCCGGTACGATCCCAGTGGTATCCAGCACGATCCCGTTGAGTTTTTGGATTGATACTGGTGGTATCCCAGCAGTATTTTCGGTATGATCCCAGCGGAATCCCGGCACCATCCCCTCGGGATTTTCGCTATGATCCCAGCGGAATCTCGGCACCGTCCCGTCGGGATTTTCGCTATAATCCCAGCGGAATCCAGGCACCATTCCATTGGTATATTCGGTATGATCCCAGCAGAATCCCGGCACCATCTCGTCGGCATTGTCGGTAATGATTCTGTAGTATCCTGGTCCATTCTCAGTGGGATTTTCAGTAAGATCCCAATGGTACCGGACACGATCTCGGTGGGATTATCGGAGTGCTCTCATAAATATCTCGAAACGATACTGGCGGGAATTTTCGGTAGAATCCCAGCGGGAGTCGGGCACGATTCCGGCCAGAATTCTGGTATGATCTACGCCGAATTCTAACATGATCGCGGACGAAATTCTGAGCGTTAAACGAGTACGCTCGATGCACGAATTAAAATACGATGTGTGGCCCAATCCAAACGTCGAACTTGACAAAAAACGAAGTTACATGAGACGAACTAAACTGAGAGCATTAAGTTCATGTTAAGTTCCACATTTGAATCAGTTGAGTTCTTCCAACTTAATTTGGATCCACTTACACGTTTTCTCGGTCTTCTTCGGACAGATAGAACATGTGAGAATTGCCTGTGGGACAAAACGTCAATCTTTTCATGAATCCACCAATTGCTTCATTTGCAACCCGCTGACAGAAAGATTCGGTGTTTGCATCTCTGAATTTTATTGGTTTCACGAATTAAATTCGACGTTTAACCCAACAATCGCACTTTACCCGTTTGGGTTGACCAAAATTTCAAGTAGTTCGTCTCATGTGCTGTTCGGCGTTTGGACTGAGCCTTATACGCAAAGCAAGAGAAATAAATCGAAACTGAAATAATATAATAACAAATAGGACTTTTTGAAGAAATACCATGAGCAATTTTAACTTACAGCCATTCAAGATATTCAAGGCCATGAAAGACACCTTCTGGTAAAAATGTAATGGCGTTTGCTTGCAGGTCTCTGCGACAAAATGGGGGCAATTGCAACATTTGATTCAAAGCTATTTATGTCCGATACATTTTCATAAAAACCTTAGACTTACTCTAATTAATTTTTCTCGCCTCTATTTTGTAAGTTTTTGCACTCACAGTTGCTCTAGATGCAGTGGTAAGATTAACACTTCGTCAGCTTGAAAGGCAAAGCCATTTATGGATAAACCTCTGTACGGGAAGGAACATCAAAATTTTTCTAATCTCTGTATTTTACTTATACAAACAAAAACGGGGATGGGCTCAGAAGCAGTTTTCCTTGTATCGAGGTAAATCTCCATCAAAAGTTGTCAAATCAAAAGTTATAGCCCTATAAAATCGCAACAGCCAATCAAAATAGAAGAAAAGCAGCCAACCATAATAAAAAGAACATACATAGCACTCACATAAAGTATAGTTTGTCCAGTTTGCTGAAAACGTCGGCAGGTAGAGATAAAATAGCGTTGGAAGTCAAAAACCTGCCAGAGACAATTTCTACAAGTAAGATTATTTAGTATATGCCAGACAGGTGAATCTTGCTTGTCGCGCGCGCTGATTGGCTGGTAAGGAAGTGACTAACAAATACTACTCACCTCGAACTTCAAGCAGCCGAATAGATAACATCGCACGTCAACAAATTGATCTCCAACCATTTTTCGGTATATCGACAGAAATAAACTAATTGTTTTGGTTTCTGTGTGGTACGTACTAAAACAATAACTCACCTCAATGTCGGTAAATATCTGCCACTATTCACCCCCCACTTCAGTGAATAATTGTTATATATTAAGCACGGCCCTAGTTTGGAGGCGCAAGAGCAAACTCTGAAAATACCATTCAAAGTTTGTTCAGAACTTACAGATATTCCAAGCTTGCCAGAGGAGAAAACGTATCCGCAGATATGTTTTGAATGTTATTATACGCCAAGTTACTAAACAAAAAAGAAACAAAAGAACTACTGTGGTCTGAATTTTTACGGATTGTATATCAAACGACAAGAACGTTTAATATCTATACTGACACACATCAAAAGTAAATCGAATAGCATTTTAACTTACAGCTCAAACAGGTTTTTTAATGGAGATAACAATTCTGTCGATAGATCCGAAATGGCATTTGAAGACAAATCCCTGTGTAATAAATAAAATTCCGAGCATGTGTTGCGAATAACTCGTCTCAAAATCTACCACGGTAGTTTTTCCTTAAAGCGCAAATGAAGAATGTGTTCAACTCACAGTATTTGTAGTTTCTCCTGAGAAGAAAACACATTTTGTGGAAGAAAAGCAATTTTATTTGCCTTCAAGTTTCTGGAAGGAGACGTTGAAGACGATTAGCCATACGATCAAGCCATCAAGTTTTGTTTTAAAACAAGTGAAATAAAAGAGTGTTATTGTAAGAATCACTGAGATAAAAGAAACAACATTCTGCTCACAGAGTCCTCAGTTTCGTCAGGTTAACAAACACTCTATCAGGAAGATGTTCAAAACCATTCATTGACAAATCTCTGCAATTTTGAAAATCAACGCAGATAATGAGTTAGAATTTCTCCTTAATTGACGCAAATGGCCCCAAAAATAAAAGTATCCTTTTATATAACAGGAAATTTATTTTTACTCACAGCTTTTCCAGGCGAACCATCCGGGAGAAAATTTTTTCCGGGAGGATTTCCATGTCGTTTGCAGATAGATACCTGTGAAACGATTCAAACATTTTACCATTTTTACTAATTTAGTTAAGCTTTTGATCACTTTCACCACCTACATCGTCATCGTTATTGTCATCGTCATCGTTCTCCTCATTGTCAGTGTCCTTTTCAATAACATCATCTTTTTATTTCTTGTGATTATTGATATCATCATCATTATTATCATTATTATAATCATCATAATCATCATAATCATCATCATCATCGTCGTCATCATTATTGTTTTCGTTATCATCGTGTTCATGAGCTAATCCCCAACCAACACATAAGGCCTAAAGAATAACTTATGAGGCTTGGAGTAAAAATTGGAAAAAAAAAACTATTAAAAAAAGCTATGTACACATAATTGAACGTATTTTATTTGTAAAGAACTGAAATTGATTAAAGACTTACAGGAACCGCACAAACTCTAGATAAGAAAACATGTCATCCGAAACATTAGCTAATTTGCTAAAGGACACATTCCTGTGAATTGAATAAAGGCAAGTCAACCTTCATCTCATTCGGTATAGTGAAAGGAAAATAAGGCATGGAACCAACGAGATCTAATGTTAAAACATACAAACAGTATGTGAGAGGTCCGCCTTGATTTTAGTTTTTCATCGTATTGGTTAAGAAAGCAGGGCAATAATTTTTTTAGATTAATCATAGAGAAGAGTCTAGCTGGAAGGTCTCAAAACTACTTATGTCGCTAAATTGAAAATTGCTCTGTGTTACAAGGGATTGCTGATATGTTTAGGATGCATTTACAAATTCCTAGTTCTTACATGTTTTCAGTTATTCCAGGGGCACACTGAATTACATCCAATGGCGACGATAGGTTCTTGCAGAGAAGAGTATTTCCGAAAAAGTGCCTCCATCCATAATTACACTGAGGTTTGCAATCTGATGAATAATTTTAAAAAAAGCCCGATTGAAATTAATTCACGAATGCATGTAAAATGTAGGAATTTCGATTGGACAACAATTCGTTCAATACTGAACTTATTGACCTAGAGCGCGCCCAAGGCGTGGGAAACGGTGTGATCATGTTGTGACTGGCTTAACTTTGCACCTGATTGGTTGAGAGGGAAGAGAGATATTCCAACATTTATCACAAAGCAAGGTATGACTAAACTAGTGTAATCTAATCGACGGAAACGATTTAAGGTATGACAAAAAAGAAAATTATCGAATTTTTTTGCCAAAAATACCGAATCAAGTTATTTAGAACACTTTATATCTGCCGTCATACAAAATCGTTAGGGTATGCTTTACTACACACCTTAAATTACTTTTCTTTTACCTAATCTGGGGGTAACTATTTATAACTTATCATGAGTAGGTCAAATAAAACTGGTATCAAGTGAGTGTCGAAAAACCAAAACCAAACTTATCATAGCGACTTTTAAGAACAAAGGTTAAGATCATCGTCGCCATTATAAAGTCGCCATTGTTTTCAGTTTTGCTTCAAATTGGTTGAAAGGATGGCACGAATTTTCTGGACCAATCACAAAGCAAAGTAGTAAAACTTAAGTAATCTCGAATCTATTCCCACACTATTAAAAAAAATTGCTCCATAATTTATTTCTTACTTGTGTTGATATGAAACATAGCCTTACCGTTAAAAACCACGGTAAAGTTTCTAACATCTGTACCATACTTGCTAGAGGCGATACAGGAGTAGTTCGCGTCTTGGTGAAACGTTATTTTTGTAGTCCATGTTGTATTTATCAGTAGTACGGAGTTCATTTTAATGGCTATGTACACAGGAGCGGTTCCAATGACATGGCAAGACCACTTGTATCCGGGCAGTGCTCGTATGACAGACATTCGTAACATAACTTTTGGCAAAACTGACGAGACAACAAATAAAAGTATTAGAGCCCATAGGAACATTCTTGGCACTAGTTGGGATTTCGATCAATTATTCTCGCATTTTGATTGGTTTTTCATCAGTGACACACTCAGCTGCGCCTCATGTGCCACTTTTTTGTTCTCAGCACATTTTGACGTCATCTGTGATCTATTTCTGAACAGACGAACGGCAATATAGAATCTATTTTTTTTTCTACGCTGTCTCTTGTTATATTGATTGTATCATCACAAGCTAGGCTAACTTTCATTCCACGCTTTCGTACGAGCAACAAAAATGAAAATGCTCTTATGCGCCTATTTCTCCTTCTCAAATAGAAAGATGTTCATAACCTGACTATGTTTATTATACATACCTATTGGAATAAAACTGAAAGATAGCAAAAATCTCCGCTGAAAACTGTAGTCTGAATGGAATGTTATCATGACGTAATTTCCAGCCACAACAATCTGATGATCATTGTAATTACCACAGTATTCACCGATCGTCTTGTTGTTCGCATCAGTGATCACAACGTAGTCATTTCTATGATCAACAAAACAATAAAAACTCTTTGTTTCCATGGTATCTAGCCTTCGATGACGCGTGGCCGGAGCGCACAAGTTGGAAAGAAAAGGGTGATGGGAAGGTGTGCTATACCCCATGATTCCATGCACTCCTCTTTTTAAGGAAAAGAACTGGGACCAAGTAAGGGAAGGCATTGACAAATAATAGAAATGGCATGCCAGGCAACCAAGTTAATGCTTCTCTAACATGATCTCCGCTTTAAAAGAGTTACTGAAGATCTACTAATGTTACTTACACACATGGATAAGTATCCTCAATATCAAAATCAAAGAAAGAGATGATCAACTCTGTCTTTTTCGGAATTGGAACCACGTAAACACAGTGTGCATTGTTTGGATAGTTTTTAGGATACCCTGGACTTTTCAGTGAGTTATTAGCCACTGAGCCACACTCTATTCAAGAAAAAGAAAAATTAGATTCATAAACCGCCTCTAAATATTTGAAAAAACTCTTTCATACAACTACAGCGCTCATTTTTGTTCATTGTGACGACACGACAAGAGGTTTGGGATGGGGTGGGGAGTAAAGGGAGACCGGAGGGTAAGGTGCCGTTACATTCCTTCTTCGTTTCCCTTCATGCATTGGGGCCATGGACTCACAACAAAATTAGTTTAGGCAGAAGTCTTGTAGGGTAAAAACAGTATTCTCGTAAGATCACAAAAATGTTTCAACAACGGGAACGATGAATTCGAACTCGGAGGGTTGAAAGGTTTTTGTTTTGATAAACAAGAAGGAATACAGATTAAACTTGATAATTGAGAAAAATTCAAAATACCTGTATCATTGATACTCGAGAACTTTGTACCGTTACCTGCATAGGAACGAATCAATTATTTGACCCAAATTACAAAAATGTTATTTTCATTATTTTAATCATTGCTGAGTTAAGTCATAGGCTCCTCCTCCTGTTTAAGGTCCCGCATCCACGCATTTGTAACATCTTGGAGAGAAGGAAAGCCCCTACACATAATTTTACGATTCTTTGATAAGTCACCTCCCTCAATCAAGGACAAAACATTTCGTAAAAATACCACATTCAGATCAGTTTGATCTTTATAAATCTGTTTACTGGCTCTTAAAAGAATCTTAGGAAAAAAGCCTCGTTCTGACATACTAACTGATGCCCTGAGAGCACAATGCTATAATGACATGATAATGACGTCACTGGGACCAGTAACTGCATGCGCAATGAAAACATAAAACGGTTGCAAGTTAGGCCTTACCGAGCGGAACAGCAGTGAAGTATATCTCAAATCCTCTCTCCTGACCATACTCGTCTGATATGAACGTCATTAATACAAAGTCACCCGTTACGAGAATTTCTTTACCAGTCCACTCCCCACAGTACGTACCAAACGTTTGACCTTTGTCATTTGTAACCGAAAAGGAGTCGGCCAACCTTAACAAACAAATATTTATTTTTGTATCAATTTAAATTGCTCCTTAGTGAGAATCATATTTTTCTCATATTTCCGTAGTTTTAATAATAACTCAGTAATTTCACTTACTATTCATAAAACTGAGGTCAAAGTTAACTTAAGAAATTCTTCCAAAATACAACTTGAGGGTATAAAAAGAAATGAAAATGGAGAATACTCCGAGATTTTACTTCTTTCAAAAGGTAAATTTCAGCTTTCTCGGTTTGTACCATGAGCGGTTCTTCTACCTCCCCCATATTTTAGATGTTTCTATACACTGCAGCCACACTGCCTGGTTTGGACGTCACTCGCTTTTTATGACATTCCCGCGAATTGTGGCGGTCGCCACCTGATTTCGATGTCACTACCTGATTTACATGGGCTTAGTAGTCTCTTTTAGGGGCAGAGGCACGGAAAAGGAGCACCTTAAGTTCCTGATAACAAGAAAAAGTATGCAACCGAGTCCAGTGGCCTATAGCCTATCCAGGTTTCTGTGGCATGTAGCGACCAGAAGAACCGCTATCCTGCGGTTCTGTGCGGTTCTGTGTTCTATGGGAAGCTAGTTCATGGTGGCATGTTATC